TCTCCAAGCTTTACAAGTATTCTTTCCCTAGCCTCTTCAGGCTCCACAAATGATAGATAGTTTGTTTTTGAGTGTGTGGTTTACTCTCATAGAGAGGATACAAAGATTTACTACACTCACTAAGGTGCATGTTCCTAAGTTACACTCAGAACTCCTTAGTCTACAGAGATAAATACAATACAATATTGTACATTTGACTATGTATGCTTTGTCTTTGATTTCATTGCTTCTTGGGCTTGAAATCACTCCCTTTGCCATGCCTTTCCAGGTTTGAAGTCATGACATATATATAGTCTTGTAAAATTTGCTCGTTGCAAATGTTTGTTGAAGCAGAATGTAGTCGTTCATGACTAGTTTGATCTTTCATTTAATGCACAAGATCTTGCATTAAATGTTGCTTCCTGTTTATAGACATTGTGTGAAGTCTTCTATGTTTTGTTAGCTGTAGTGTCTGACTTTAACTGAGACCTAGGAACTTTTTATCCTTTTCTGGTCATCGTAGCTGCAGAAACGTTGTCTTTATCTGAAAAAGTGATGTACTTTTTCTTACACATGCATGCTTTTACTTTTGGGCTTGCTTTTCTTCTTCTTTTCTTCCTTTCATCACGCGATCATGTTGAAAACTCTTGTTTGATCGTAGACGATGCTTGATTTGTCCCTTGAGACTTGATTCTTCAAATGCTTGCATGGTAGCCTTCATCTACGTCTGTCAGTCCATGTGCATCTCAAGACTTGATCTTCGTTTGAGCATTTGTCATTATTGCTTTGACTTTCTTTGGTCTGGTCAACATTGTAAATGGACAGAATTTGTTTCTATCTGGAATGCTTTTCAATCTGTGCTATCCTTCGTCTGATATGTATTTGACTTTTATCAGATTCTTGACCAGCCTTCGTCTGAATTCTTATGTTGCGCTCTAGGTTGTGCTTGACATACTTTCGTTTGATATTTGATCCATCATCGTCTGGCGCTCATGTCGTATTTCATCTATCATTTGACTTTGATTCATTTGATCCTTGTGTTGTGCTTTGCCTTGACTTATCTTCGTCTAATTGACCATTAAGCTTCATCTGATGTCTGTACGGATTTCATCTGGTGCTTAACCACTTTTGTCTTGTTCTTGATTTAGCCTTGTTTGATACTTGTTTTGGCCTTTCGCCCAGCGCAACTAAAACTGGGAGCCTATCAGGCTTTGCCAGCTCAGCGCGTCACGACGTGCGCTCAACCCATGACTATATGCGCTCAGCGCATAGACTCGTGCGCTCAGCGCGCTTGAGACAGAGAGCCACTAGAAACAGCTCGCTCAACGCGTAGACCCATGCGCTCAGCCCATTTCGAAATGCGCTCAGCCCATGGATAAATGCGCGCAGCGCGCTCCAGACAGAAAACTTTGTTCTTCAATGCGCTCAGCGTGTTGTCTCGTGCACTCATCGTGCATCTTGACAGAAAGTTCTATTCTTCAGTGCGCTCAGCGCGTCGTCGCGTGCGCTCAGCGCGCATGCATCAAACAGCGCGTCGGAAGTTCGAAAACTCCGATTTTCAACCCCAAAATCCATCCCAAATGAATCCCAAACCAAATTTATACAATTTCGAACCATTAAAGAGTATAAACACCATCCAAAAACAACATATTAAGTGATAAAAATAAGTATTAACCATTAATCCATGAAAATCGTAGGAAATCATGAAGAAACCTAACCAAACCATCTCCATCTCAATCCAGCCTCAATCATGCGTAAAACATGGAATCAATGTGATATTTCAACTCCATACATACTAGATTAAGTCTTATAAGTACTACCTTTACCTCAGAAACTTCCGAAATGCAAGATTTGGACAAAACCCTCAAATCCCAACTCAAACTTTAATCCTCCTTTTCAAGGCTTTAAAGGTTGAATCTCTTGAAACTCTAGTTGTGAAGATTGATCCTGGCTTGATAAGCTTCCCAAATGTGTCCTCAGCTTCCCTCCGGACCAGAGCCCCTCTCTCTACTTTCTCTCTCTAGAACTGTCTCTGTCTGAAAAATGAGACCCTCCGGTCCTAAGTCCCTATATATAGCCATTTTCCAAAATTTCCAAATTTCACCCTTAGCACCTATTCACCTCAAATATCCTATTCCTTGAAGTATTTCAACTCCCTAAGCTCTAAAACAACCTCAAATTCACTCAAAAAGACCAGATTTATCTTATGTTCCTATCCTTCAATCTCCTACCCATCCTATTCCTTTCCATGCAATACTCACAACTCACCACCATATGAAATGCAACATGTATCAACACACAAACAAACATCACTTTCAGATACATATTCTTGGAATAATGAGTTGCATGCCATAATACTTCACTTAACCAAGATGAGAAGGAAGGTGATCAGTCTTCTTCCCTCTTAGTACCAATTCAGTATAATGGTGTACAATGCATCATTCACCAAATTCATGCACACACATGCCTATATAAACCTCTCAAAACATCAACCTCTCATCTCATACTATAAAATCACTACCATGCTTAAACAACTAATCAAAACCACATCAACATACAACATGCACAGAGGTAAGTACATTTCAAATCCACATATCCATAATCCAATCCAAATCCATAGAAACAACATATACATACATGCATACATACATACATATATATATATATATATATATATAGAGTATATCTACCAAATAGCTCGGTATTTCCATGGCGTTACATTTTGATATGAATTAGAGTGCTCTGTGAGTTCTTATAGGAAATCCTATGAGAAACAGACAAATTTTGAATGTTTTCTACTTTGGCTTCTGAATTTTTTGTTGTATTCCCTGATGATTACTAAGCATGAATGTATGTTTAGTTTTGAGTTTGAATATGTTTTGATTTGGATTAGAATGCTCTATGGGTTCCTATGGGAAATCCTATGAGAAACAGACAAATTTTGAATATTTTTGTTTTGCCTTCTGAGTTTTCTGTTGTGTTTCCTGATAATTATTGAGCATGAATGTATATTTAATTTTGAGTTTGAATATGTTTTGATTTGGATTAGAATGCTCTATGGGTTCCTATGGGAAACACTACGAGAAATAGGCAAAATATGAATGTTTTCTGTTTTGATGTTTGTGTTTTCTATTGTATTCCTTGATGTTTGTTAAGTGTGAATATGTGTTTAATTCCAAAAATAGATAATTTTTAAGCCATGTTTGAAGGTGTTAAAGAAGTAACACGTGTCATCTGTTCTTTAACTTGCCTGTACTTATGTTTTTCTGAAACACTAACACGCATGTTAGAAATAACAATATGTATTATATTTGTTTCATTCAAAACCTTGCTAGAAATCGCTTCGTCTGACTTAACAGGTTTGACATCACTAAGTTAGAGAAAATTTTATCTCATCACACTTGATGCCATTGAATCCCCGTTCGGTGTGACCAATTTAAGGACATTTTGTAACACCCCGAATTTTATAAAATTATATTAATAATACGTAGTATTTATTTTAATGTTTTAATGTGTTTATTAGAAGGATTTTTAATATTATTTAGTTATTTGATATGAACTTTATTTTTATATAAAACATATGCTATTTTTACTAAAAGGGAGAAGTATATTTTATATTATTTATCTATTTTATGTGAGCTTTATTTTAATATAAAAATGGTTTTTAATTAATATTTGGATTATTTTCTATAAAATTATTTTTATGAAAATATGTTTTTATCAAATTCTTTCCCTAGCCTCTTCAGGCTCCACAAATGATAGATAGTTTGTTTTTGAGTGTGTGGTTTACTCTCATAGAGAGGATACAAAGATTTACTACACTCACTAAGGTGCATGTTCCTAAGTTACACTCAGAACTCCTTAGTCTACAGAGATAAATACAATACAATATTGTACATTTGACTATGTATGCTTTGTCTTTGATTTCATTGCTTCTTGGGCTTGAAATCACTCCCTTTGCCATGCCTTTCCAGGTTTGAAGTCATGACATATATATAGTCTTGTAAAATTTGCTCGTTGCAAATGTTTGTTGAAGCAGAATGTAGTCGTTCATGACTAGTTTGATCTTTCATTTAATGCACAAGATCTTGCATTAAATGTTGCTTCCTGTTTATAGACATTGTGTGAAGTCTTCTATGTTTTGTTAGCTGTAGTGTCTGACTTTAACTGAGACCTAGGAACTTTTTATCCTTTTCTGGTCATCGTAGCTGCAGAAACGTTGTCTTTATCTGAAAAAGTGATGTACTTTTTCTTACACATGCATGCTTTTACTTTTGGGCTTGCTTTTCTTCTTCTTTTCTTCCTTTCATCACGCGATCATGTTGAAAACTCTTGTTTGATCGTAGACGATGCTTGATTTGTCCCTTGAGACTTGATTCTTCAAATGCTTGCATGGTAGCCTTCATCTACGTCTGTCAGTCCATGTGCATCTCAAGACTTGATCTTCGTTTGAGCATTTGTCATTATTGCTTTGACTTTCTTTGGTCTGGTCAACATTGTAAATGGACAGAATTTGTTTCTATCTGGAATGCTTTTCAATCTGTGCTATCCTTCGTCTGATATGTATTTGACTTTTATCAGATTCTTGACCAGCCTTCGTCTGAATTCTTATGTTGCGCTCTAGGTTGTGCTTGACATACTTTCGTTTGATATTTGATCCATCATCGTCTGGCGCTCATGTCGTATTTCATCTATCATTTGACTTTGATTCATTTGATCCTTGTGTTGTGCTTTGCCTTGACTTATCTTCGTCTAATTGACCATTAAGCTTCATCTGATGTCTGTACGGATTTCATCTGGTGCTTAACCACTTTTGTCTTGTTCTTGATTTAGCCTTGTTTGATACTTGTTTTGGCCTTTTGTCTACGATCTGTATCATCTGAAGCTTGATCATTT